GTTTAGGGTTTAGGGTTTAGGGTTTAGGGTTTAGGGTTTAGGGTTTAGGGTTTAGGGTTTAGGGTTTAGGGTTTAGGGTTTAGGGTTTAGGGTTTAGGGTTTAGGGTTTAGGGTTTAGGGTTTAGGGTTTAGGGTTTAGGGTTTAGGGTTTAGGGTTTAGGGTTTAGGGTTTAGGGTTTAGGGTTTAGGGTTTAGGGTTTAGGGTTTAGGGTTTAGGGTTTAGGGTTTAGGGTTTAGGGTTTAGGGTTTAGGGTTTAGGGTTTAGGGTTTAGGGTTTAGGGTTTAGGGTTTAGGGTTTAGGGTTTAGGGTTTAGGGTTTAGGGTTTAGGGTTTAGGGTTTAGGGTTTAGGGTTTAGGGTTTAGGGTTTAGGGTTTAGGGTTTAGGGTTTAGGGTTTAGGGTTTAGGGTTTAGGGTTTAGGGTTTAGGGTTTAGGGTTTAGGGTTTAGGGTTTAGGGTTTAGGGTTTAGGGTTTAGGGTTTAGGGTTTAGGGTTTAGGGTTTAGGGTTTAGGGTTTAGGGTTTAGGGTTTAGGGTTTAGGGTTTAGGGTTTAGGGTTTAGGGTTTAGGGTTTTGGGGTTTAGGGTTTAGGGTTTAGGGTTTAGGGTTTAGGGTTTAGGGTTTAGGGTTTAGGGTTTGATTAGAAAAAATAAGCCTAGCTGCAGCTGCTAGCAAATCCCAGTTTAAACTGGGGCGGCTTTACTACTGAGGCGGCTACTAAGGTAGCGTGAGAGTAGGAGGAGGTGAGTGGCGCGTGGGTTGGGAAGAAGGGGTCGAATTGAAATGGGGGGGGGGGGGGGGGGGGTGCCGAAATGTTGAAACCGAGGCGCGCATTTGACGCGCGCGCCTCGGGAGTCAAGAATCGAGAAATTGGGGGGGGGAGAAATTCGAGTTGACTTGGCGAGAAAAAAAATTCCTCGCCAAAAAACGACTCGCCCTCGGAAATCGCGATTACGGTTCAGTGCGGTGACGCGCTGCTAAGCGCAAAATGCTCCGTGAGATACGCGGAAATAGACCTATTTTAATCTTCTCTTCTCTTTTCAAGCTAAGGAAACGCATTAGGGCTGCTGAAATAACTGTTGCAAATGCATTTCGGCCAGTAGAGGCCATCATCAGTGCTAACAGCAGCAAAAGTGGCGAGACCTAGCCTAAGTAGGGAAGAGAGGGTTGGGAAAGAAAGTCCCATCCCCTTTAGTAGCGCCCCACTGAAATTAAAACAACACCAAAAAACTATTCTAATTTTTTCTTAGTCATAAAAATAACTAAGAGCAGCATTAGGTAGTCGTTGGTTGCTGTTCCACCAGAAATAAACGATTCCTTGTTTCCTGTGGCGTGCTCTTGGGGAGCTGTGGCCTGTGTAGTGGTACCAAGCACAGATCACAGACGGAATATCGCAGGGAAAAATGCTAGGCAGGGGAATTGCAGGAGGGGACGCAGGGTGAAAGTAGATATGCGTGGGATGTGTTTATTATTTTTATATGAATGTAAACCCGCTTAGGCAACGCGCGCACTGAGTCGGGGCTGTCGTGACAGTGTTCTATCATCAACGTGCCCTCGTGTGCTCTTATGCCAGCAGCGTCAAGTGTGCGGTGTCGCGTGAGGGCTTGATGTTTGATGTTAGTTGCAGGGTGGCATTTGCATGGGTCTTTGATGATGTGATGGCGATGCATGGTCTTAGGGGGCATGATGGCAGTGCATGCAAATGGTTCCGTGCATGCGTGAGGTGTGTCATGACTGTCGGTGCAGGTGGGTCGTGCGAGTGTGTGCGTACATGGATGTGGGTGTAGGGAGGGAGACAGAGGGACAGAGAGACATGTGAATGTGGGAGGCGTAGCCTGTTGTCACATCTTGAAAATTTACCCTGCGAGCGTATGAATGGGGCGGGGGAGATGGATGAGATGATGATAGTAGTGTGGAGCTGCTGGGGTTCGGGTACATCGTGATGAGAAGCGGGGGGGGGGGGGGGGTTTCGGGGGGGGGCGCGCAGCCCCCTTCGATGATTGAAGTGTAACAGTGGGAGATGGGGCAGGGCGAGAGGTGTCAGATCAAGCGCGGTGCATGCAACCGGGCAAAGCAATCATGTCGCACTACCTTCTGATGCATCTCGAGCAGCCTCGCTCGTGAACGCAGCACGGACTAGCACATTCCTGAGCTTAGGTGCCGCACGAAAGCAGAAGAAAGGCTGTCTAGGGCATAGGGTAGCTACGATTTCTTTGTTCGTCTCGGAGCGAAGCAGTGATTTTACGCGTGGGTGCTCGAGGCTCGGGTGGTACTCTAGCACAAAGGGCAGTACCCTGTTGTCTCGCTGTTTACCTTTTTCCGAGTGTCGCATGCGTGTGTCCCTGTCGCTATACTGCACCTCGTCGAAGATCGGCTGGATGAAAGTTGAGTGGTAGCCGCGTGCTTTCAAGCGCTCTGCGAACGAAGCTTTCATGCGGTGAAAGCCTTCCTCGGAGGACTCCCTAAGGAGGTAACGGTACAGCTCACCGATAATGAAGCCTCGTTTGCAGTGTCGTGGGTGCGCAGAGCGAAACGGGAAATATTGGTAGACGTTCAACGGCTTTTGGTATACAGAGGTATCCAAAAAACCGCCTTCCGTGTTCTCTTTCCTTGTCGTTTCCCATTGCGTACCTTTGGTGAAAGTGATGTCGAGCAGGGTAAACGAAGTGGTGCTGATCTCGGTGGTGATGCGAATCCCAACTAGGAGGCTGTTGTATCCCTCTATCCAGAGATGCAAATCTGCTAGCGACCCAGTCCAGACGACCAGCCCATCGTCAATGTATCGCCTGTGCAGCAGTACATGTTCTGAGAGAGCGGGAAAACGGTCCTCCATGACGGTGTCGAGCCAGCTCATGAAAAGTACAGCGTAGATTACTGCAACCGGTGTCCCCATGGCAGTACCCTTGATTTGCCGATAGAACCTGCCGTCAAACTGAAGGTGGTTTTCAGTCATGACCAGCTCTAGCAGCTCGCAACACGCGCTGAGCTGCTTGGCGGGGCTCTTATCTGAGTACAGCGGGTAGCCGTGTTTGCGTACGAACCTGTCTTTGGTTTCCCGTATGGCGTCGATGCCCTGCTGCAGCGGGATTGATGGATAAAGGCTTTCCACATCATATGTAAGGAAGATGGCGTGTTCGGGTATAGGGAGGGTGCGGAGCGTGTGTAGTAGGGTGATTGAGTCTGGTAGATGGGCTGGAGCGAGCGTCAAGAGCGGGCGTAAATAGTGATCTAGTACCTGGCTGGCGTGCTCGAAGACCCAAAGCGTGGAGGAGCATATCGGTCTACCTTTGACTGGAGTTTTGTGCAGTTTCGGTAACAGGTAAAACCTACATACGCGGAACTGTTCGTGCACAGTACCCTCGTGTTCGTCAACCCTTGGTTGCAGGATATACTCGATGGTTTCCCGAGGGAAACTCCTTTTGTATGTCGAGCACCAAGCGTCTAGACGTTCGAAGAGATCAGTCATTGGTACCGACTCCACCTCTGTGTAGGTGTCAGTGTCCGACAGCTGTCTGAGTGCCTCTGTGCGATACCATGCAGTGTCCAGTAAGGCCAGCCCTAGATTTTTGTCTGCTGGCTTCACTACGACATTCGGGTTCTTGCTCAAACGCTTCACGCATCGCAACGAGGCATTGCTCATGTTCCTGCGAGCTGGGCGCATCATCAGCGGAAGGTGTTCCCGTATCTTTTCTTCTACCTCTGCTATGTAACGCTCGACAGGAGGCGCTGCGGGGTCTGGATCGTAGGATGGTTTGGGGATGCGGAAGCGAGGGGCTGGTCTGTCAGAGGAGAAGTGTGAGATCAATCTCACACTTCTTACGAAACGCGCGAGTGCACTCTTTATGGTTGTTGCGGTGGGAGGTGGAGGTGTCGGGATGAACGAGAGACCTAGGCTTAGGCCTTCCAGCTCAGCGGGTGATAGGGTAAGTGTGGATTTGTTGTGTATGAACTTGGAGTGGAGCTCGTCTTGGATGGTTACCTGTGAGGCTCGCAGGAGACGTGTCAGGGTTGGGGTCAGAGAACGCCTAAGGCTGTCTTTTCTGGGTCTCGAACGGGGCTTTTTACCGGTTCTGGCAGGGCTCACCTGCTGGTTGGTATCATCTGATGTGGTTGAACTGTGTCGTGGAAGGGGGCTTATGTCGTTTCTGCGTGGCATGTCATCTGCTGGTGTAGTGTTTGAGGTGTTGTGCCCGGGGTTAGTGGGATGGGCTACTATGTTGCCAGGGCTAATATTTGGGCTGCTTTGTCGGTGGGTTTCATTGGGAGGTGTGTTATGTGGTCTGAGGCGTAGGGCTTGGCTTAGCGACAGGGGTGGGTTTGGTGGGGGCCGGCGTACATACCTAGGGGTAACGCTGTCGTCCGGGATTGTTTTTGGCGTCGCTGCGGTATCTGCGTTAGGGTGGGTGGGGAGGGGAGGGATCTTCACCATAAAAAATGCATGGGCATGGGGACGGCAGCAGGGCCATAGTTAGTGTTAAGTGGTGTCCCTCTGCCCTCGTGTGGCCCAAACACTATCTGGGCTTGTGGTCCTTGAGCTACCTGCTGGGTGGGGGGACCTGCGGTTGCATAAGGGTATGTTGGTGGCGCTGGTGTTGCTGACATGACCGATATGTTTGAAAGCGCCGGTTGAGCTGGTGCCGAGGTCTGTGGCAGGGGGGCAGCCTGCTGGGGGAAGAAGAAGGGATGTGTATGAGGCAGGTAGTGGCCGCCATGGTTCATGCTGGGATGCATGGGTGCTAAGGGGTATGGCTGGTACATGCTGGGGAATGCGGGGTTTGCCATGAAGGTATAGGCGGGTGCTGCTGGTGCTTGAGGGGCGGGCTGGGCAGGGGTGTCTGGCTGTGGTGCGGTCTGCTCTGGTGCAGTTTGAGTGCGGTCAGCTGTGCCTGGCGCCTCTCGAGCAGTGCGGTCAAGTGCGGGTCCTGGATCGGGCTGTTGCCCGGTTTGCTCTGGCTGTCCTTGACCTAAATGTGTGCTCTGAGGCTGTTCTCTCTGTGCGTTTCTCAGCTGGCCCCTATCGTCCCGGTGTTCCCTCTGTTGTGCCCGTCCCGGTGTCCTCTGTGGTGCACCCCTGCTCTCGTGCATCGCTGGTCTGTCGTGTTGTGAGGGGTGTTGGGGTGCCATGCGGATAGCATAGTGCTGCTGCCATGGTGCTTGGGGAGCTGTGCGGGCTGTGTCAGTGTGGCGTTGCCTAGGCCGGTTTACCTTCAACCCACGCATAGCTACCTTCACCGCCGCAGCAGTCGCAATGGCTGCCGCGGACGACTGCGAGGTCCTCACTGCCGTCTGCAAGCGTCCTCCCCGCTGTGTGCCCTCAGTGTACCCCGGACGTGTTGAAGGAGAGGTCGTCACCGGTATCGGCTGCGCTGCTACTCCGGCTGCTGTCGATGCTGGAGCTGTGCCTGCAGCCCCTGGTGTTGCTGCTGCTGGTGCTGGGGCTGGCTGCGCAGTGTCATTAGTTGAGGCTATTGCTGCTGCTGGTCCTGCTGCTCCCTGCACTTCTGTTGCAGTGGCTGCTGGTCCTGCTGCTGTAGCAACCTCGCCTCCCCCCGGCCTCTCTGCTGATGTTGCTGCTGCTGGAAGAGCCGCTGTCCTCCCCGCGGTTCCCCCTGCCTCAGGGGCTGTCGCTGCTGCTGTGGGTTGCTGTGAGGTGGCTCCGTTTCGGGCCTTGTGTTTTTTCGCTTCTCTTCGGCGTTGTGCCCTGCTCTTTCCTGCTACCTTCCCGTGCTCTGTTGTAGGCCCACTCTTAGACTGGCGCTGCTCCAAGGCCTCTACCCGCTGCTGTAGGGGGCCAACCAGTGTTTTCATCAGCCCGAGCAGGTCGGTAGAAGGATCTGCTTGTATCTGCTCCACCTGCGCCTGTTCACCCCGTGCCTTCTCCCGTTTAGCTGCCCCCCTTGCCTTTGAGTTGCGGTTGCCCTTGATCCACACGGCATGATACATCAGCTCTCGTGCCATGCCACGTGCCATGTAGTCAGCGGCCAGCTCCTTGAGGTGAGCATCGGGTGCAGGGGTACCAGGTGCTGCATGGGTCTCGAAAAAGTGAAGGTCTTTCTCCAGGAAGCTCTCGAAGCGAGTGTGTGTCCGTGCCGCCCACACCTCTGCTGCCGCTTCCCAGTGAGCCTTCTCCTTCTCTTTGTACCCCATCAGAGTCAGCTGGGCCTTTGTTTTGAAGGTTTTCAGCTCATTGTCTAGGGCCTGGTTCAAACTCTCCTGTAGGGCAGGGTCGGTTAGCTGTAGCGTGGGGGTTGAAATCCGGAGAGCGTGGGAAACTTCCCCATCCCTGAACTGCTGCTGAAGCTCGCACAGGCCGTTCGATACTTTGCTGTAGGTGCGAAGGCAGCTCTTGAATGAAGCCAGCTCCTTCTCGATCGCCTTGCGCAGGGGCTTAGGCAAGCTCTTGAAGGGTGAGGAAGCAGGGGGCTCTGGTGGTGTCGTGTTGAGTAGCATGGACTGCATATCTTCGAAGAAACGATGCCAAACAGTGGGGAGGTCTTCTTCTTCCTTCAGCCCATATGCTGCCTCTAGGCCCTTCATGCCGAACTGCTCACCCCGCATGAGAGCTGCCGCTGCCTTGCCAATCTCTCTCTTTGTCAGCTTCAAACCCTCTGGGGTTGCATCCTCCTGGCTCGTTGGGCTCATGGGCTGCTCGGGTGGCTCCGCTTCGTCCTCTCCTCCGCATGGGTCAAACTCCACGGGGCAGTAGAGGATACGGGTCCCATCCCTATTAGGGCCTTCATCCCTGGTCCCCTTGCTGCTGCTGCTGCTGCTATCGCTCGGCTGCTGATGAGGCTGTTGTGCTTGTGGTGCGGCTGCTGCTGTGTCATCGTGTCCCGGCCAGGTCGGTGTGAGGCTGTCCGGGCGGCTCCGTCCCTGCTGCAGCGTGGTAGTGGGTGGCACGATAGGTGCTGTTCCGTTAGGGGGTAGCTCATCAGTGCCCTTGCAAGCTCGTGGGAGATCACTTATGCGGCTGCTTGTGACAACCAAAGGTTCTCCCAACCTCATTGTTGCTAGCACTGAAATCCCTGCCCTTGCTCGTCTCGTGTCACCAGCTTCTTCCGCATGCTGTCCTGCCCCCTGCATTGTCGTGGCTGCGCTGGTTCTTGCTCCCTCATTCAGTGTCACCTGCTCCCTGTCGTTGCTTCCTGCTGCTGGGGTAGCTGTGACGGTTGTGTCTGTATCTGCCATGGCCTGCCCTCTCCTGTCCTCTTCCTCCAAAGCAGCTGGTGCCGCTGTTGCGGTGGGCTGTTGTTCACGTTGCTCCACCACATCCTTGCATGCCCCTGTCACCGCTCCTCTCATGCCGTTGGGTCCAGCACCCTGTATGAAGAGGCTGCTGGTGTTTCCCACCTGCAGCATGCCTGGCATTGGGCTGGTTTGTGCTGCCGGTGGGTTCGGACTTGGTTGGGGGGCGATGGGAGCTGGCGTGTGCGTAGGAGGAGGAGCTGGTGAATCAGGGGTCACGATCCCTGGCAGTGGGTTGGTGTGTGAAGGGTGTACTAGTGCTGTATCTGTCACCGCCGGTGTCACTGCTGCGCCACCTGCTGCTGCTGTCCCTGCTGTGTTTGCCGCTGTTCCGGCCGGTGTTGCAGTTGCCAAAGCTGTTGGCGCCACTGCTGTGTGAGTTGCTGTTGGTGTCGCTGCTGCCATGACTGTTGCTGTGCTTGCTGTTCCTACTGTTGCTGCTGCGGCTAATGCCTGAGGGGCATGGGGTGCTGATGCTGCTGTTCCTGGTGCCGTTGCTGCCTCACCCGTGACCGGTGCTCGTGCCGTGTTCCCTGCCGCTGGAGTAGTTGCTGCTGCTCCGAATTCAGCTGCTGCCGCCGTCAGTGCTTCACGATATATCGCGTGCCACGGGGGGGATCCAGTCGGGGAAATTGTACGGAGCATGGTTGATGCTCCGTTGACAATGACCTGGTACCAGTCAATCGGTCTCTGGTCGGCAGAGGGCTCTGACTGGGTGTGTCCCGGTGGAGCTAAGGACCCTGCTGCTGCCGCGCCTGAGCCTGATGGTGTTGGTGTGAGGGTGGTCAGTGCTGCAGCAGCAGTTTCTGCCACAGCCAGGGATTGAACCGCTGCTGTAGGTGTAGCTGAAGCTGCAGGCGTGTCTGCCATATTGCCTGCATGTGCCTCTGCACCAGCGACAGTCGGTGACCTGGTAGGTGAGTCGGCCGTTGGTGTGCCCATTGGTGCTGAAATCTCAGGCGTAGTGGCTGGCACACCGTGGTCATGTGCGCCTGCCCATGGGCCTACTCCTCCCCCCGTCTCCTCTCCAGCCATTGGCTCAGCGTGTTCGCCTTGTTCTGAGCTGGCGGAATGGACGGAAGCACCCGGGATGGGGGAATTTTCTGCCGAGGCGAAATCCGCCTCTGTTGCCTCTGAGAAATCTGATCCAGCCTCCGACGCACCCGCTCCTGATGTTCCCCGTGCCGCTGCAGCTCTGAATCTGACGCCAAGCCGCCTCCTGACTGAGCTTAGCTGATAGTGGGTATGGCGGCTATTTCTTGATGTTTGCGCTCTAGTGCCTAAGTAAACCGTCATACTAGCTGCCGGCCTCCGACTTCTTCGTGCGATCTGTAGTACTTCGCGCGGCGTAGTTTAGGGTTTGATTAGAAAAAATAAGCCTAGCTGCAGCTGCTAGCAAATCCCAGTTTAAACTGGGGCGGCTTTACTACTGAGGCGGCTACTAAGGTAGCGTGAGAGTAGGAGGAGGTGAGTGGCGCGTGGGTTGGGAAGAAGGGGTCGAATTGAAATGGGGGGGGGGGGGGGGGGGGGTGCCGAAATGTTGAAACCGAGGCGCGCATTTGACGCGCGCGCCTCGGGAGTCAAGAATCGAGAAATTGGGGGGGGGAGAAATTCGAGTTGACTTGGCGAGAAAAAAAATTCCTCGCCAAAAAACGACTCGCCCTCGGAAATCGCGATTACGGTTCAGTGCGGTGACGCGCTGCTAAGCGCAAAATGCTCCGTGAGATACGCGGAAATAGACCTATTTTAATCTTCTCTTCTCTTTTCAAGCTAAGGAAACGCATTAGGGCTGCTGAAATAACTGTTGCAAATGCATTTCGGCCAGTAGAGGCCATCATCAGTGCTAACAGCAGCAAAAGTGGCGAGACCTAGCCTAAGTAGGGAAGAGAGGGTTGGGAAAGAAAGTCCCATCCCCTTTAGTAGCGCCCCACTGAAATTAAAACAACACCAAAAAACTATTCTAATTTTTTCTTAGTCATAAAAATAACTAAGAGCAGCATTAGGTAGTCGTTGGTTGCTGTTCCACCAGAAATAAACGATTCCTTGTTTCCTGTGGCGTGCTCTTGGGGAGCTGTGGCCTGTGTAGTGGTACCAAGCACAGATCACAGACGGAATATCGCAGGGAAAAATGCTAGGCAGGGGAATTGCAGGAGGGGACGCAGGGTGAAAGTAGATATGCGTGGGATGTGTTTATTATTTTTATATGAATGTAAACCCGCTTAGGCAACGCGCGCACTGAGTCGGGGCTGTCGTGACAGTGTTCTATCATCAACGTGCCCTCGTGTGCTCTTATGCCAGCAGCGTCAAGTGTGCGGTGTCGCGTGAGGGCTTGATGTTTGATGTTAGTTGCAGGGTGGCATTTGCATGGGTCTTTGATGATGTGATGGCGATGCATGGTCTTAGGGGGCATGATGGCAGTGCATGCAAATGGTTCCGTGCATGCGTGAGGTGTGTCATGACTGTCGGTGCAGGTGGGTCGTGCGAGTGTGTGCGTACATGGATGTGGGTGTAGGGAGGGAGACAGAGGGACAGAGAGACATGTGAATGTGGGAGGCGTAGCCTGTTGTCACATCTTGAAAATTTACCCTGCGAGCGTATGAATGGGGCGGGGGAGATGGATGAGATGATGATAGTAGTGTGGAGCTGCTGGGGTTCGGGTACATCGTGATGAGAAGCGGGGGGGGGGGGGGGGGGGGGGGGGGGGTTTCGGGGGGGGGCGCGCAGCCCCCTTCGATGATTGAAGTGTAACAGTGGGAGATGGGGCAGGGCGAGAGGTGTCAGATCAAGCGCGGTGCATGCAACCGGGCAAAGCAATCATGTCGCACTACCTTCTGATGCATCTCGAGCAGCCTCGCTCGTGAACGCAGCACGGACTAGCACATTCCTGAGCTTAGGTGCCGCACGAAAGCAGAAGAAAGGCTGTCTAGGGCATAGGGTAGCTACGATTTCTTTGTTCGTCTCGGAGCGAAGCAGTGATTTTACGCGTGGGTGCTCGAGGCTCGGGTGGTACTCTAGCACAAAGGGCAGTACCCTGTTGTCTCGCTGTTTACCTTTTTCCGAGTGTCGCATGCGTGTGTCCCTGTCGCTATACTGCACCTCGTCGAAGATCGGCTGGATGAAAGTTGAGTGGTAGCCGCGTGCTTTCAAGCGCTCTGCGAACGAAGCTTTCATGCGGTGAAAGCCTTCCTCGGAGGACTCCCTAAGGAGGTAACGGTACAGCTCACCGATAATGAAGCCTCGTTTGCAGTGTCGTGGGTGCGCAGAGCGAAACGGGAAATATTGGTAGACGTTCAACGGCTTTTGGTATACAGAGGTATCCAAAAAACCGCCTTCCGTGTTCTCTTTCCTTGTCGTTTCCCATTGCGTACCTTTGGTGAAAGTGATGTCGAGCAGGGTAAACGAAGTGGTGCTGATCTCGGTGGTGATGCGAATCCCAACTAGGAGGCTGTTGTATCCCTCTATCCAGAGATGCAAATCTGCTAGCGACCCAGTCCAGACGACCAGCCCATCGTCAATGTATCGCCTGTGCAGCAGTACATGTTCTGAGAGAGCGGGAAAACGGTCCTCCATGACGGTGTCGAGCCAGCTCATGAAAAGTACAGCGTAGATTACTGCAACCGGTGTCCCCATGGCAGTACCCTTGATTTGCCGATAGAACCTGCCGTCAAACTGAAGGTGGTTTTCAGTCATGACCAGCTCTAGCAGCTCGCAACACGCGCTGAGCTGCTTGGCGGGGCTCTTATCTGAGTACAGCGGGTAGCCGTGTTTGCGTACGAACCTGTCTTTGGTTTCCCGTATGGCGTCGATGCCCTGCTGCAGCGGGATTGATGGATAAAGGCTTTCCACATCATATGTAAGGAAGATGGCGTGTTCGGGTATAGGGAGGGTGCGGAGCGTGTGTAGTAGGGTGATTGAGTCTGGTAGATGGGCTGGAGCGAGCGTCAAGAGCGGGTGTAAATAGTGATCTAGTACCTGGCTGGCGTGCTCGAAGACCCAAAGCGTGGAGGAGCATATCGGTCTACCTTTGACTGGAGTTTTGTGCAGTTTCGGTAACAGGTAAAACCTACATACGCGGAACTGTTCGTGCACAGTACCCTCGTGTTCGTCAACCCTTGGTTGCAGGATATACTCGATGGTTTCCCGAGGGAAACTCCTTTTGTATGTCGAGCACCAAGCGTCTAGACGTTCGAAGAGATCAGTCATTGGTACCGACTCCACCTCTGTGTAGGTGTCAGTGTCCGACAGCTGTCTGAGTGCCTCTGTGCGATACCATGCAGTGTCCAGTAAGGCCAGCCCTAGATTTTTGTCTGCTGGCTTCACTACGACATTCGGGTTCTTGCTCAAACGCTTCACGCATCGCAACGAGGCATTGCTCATGTTCCTGCGAGCTGGGCGCATCATCAGCGGAAGGTGTTCCCGTATCTTTTCTTCTACCTCTGCTATGTAACGCTCGACAGGAGGCGCTGCGGGGTCTGGATCGTAGGATGGTTTGGGGATGCGGAAGCGAGGGGCTGGTCTGTCAGAGGAGAAGTGTGAGATCAATCTCACACTTCTTACGAAACGCGCGAGTGCACTCTTTATGGTTGTTGCGGTGGGAGGTGGAGGTGTCGGGATGAACGAGAGACCTAGGCTTAGGCCTTCCAGCTCAGCGGGTGATAGGGTAAGTGTGGATTTGTTGTGTATGAACTTGGAGTGGAGCTCGTCTTGGATGGTTACCTGTGAGGCTCGCAGGAGACGTGTCAGGGTTGGGGTCAGAGAACGCCTAAGGCTGTCTTTTCTGGGTCTCGAACGGGGCTTTTTACCGGTTCTGGCAGGGCTCACCTGCTGGTTGGTATCATCTGATGTGGTTGAACTGTGTCGTGGAAGGGGGCTTATGTCGTTTCTGCGTGGCATGTCATCTGCTGGTGTAGTGTTTGAGGTGTTGTGCCCGGGGTTAGTGGGATGGGCTACTATGTTGCCAGGGCTAATATTTGGGCTGCTTTGTCGGTGGGTTTCATTGGGAGGTGTGTTATGTGGTCTGAGGCGTAGGGCTTGGCTTAGCGACAGGGGTGGGTTTGGTGGGGGCCGGCGTACATACCTAGGGGTAACGCTGTCGTCCGGGATTGTTTTTGGCGTCGCTGCGGTATCTGCGTTAGGGTGGGTGGGGAGGGGAGGGATCTTCACCATAAAAAATGCATGGGCATGGGGACGGCAGCAGGGCCATAGTTAGTGTTAAGTGGTGTCCCTCTGCCCTCGTGTGGCCCAAACACTATCTGGGCTTGTGGTCCTTGAGCTACCTGCTGGGTGGGGGGACCTGCGGTTGCATAAGGGTATGTTGGTGGCGCTGGTGTTGCTGACATGACCGATATGTTTGAAAGCGCCGGTTGAGCTGGTGCCGAGGTCTGTGGCAGGGGGGCAGCCTGCTGGGGGAAGAAGAAGGGATGTGTATGAGGCAGGTAGTGGCCGCCATGGTTCATGCTGGGATGCATGGGTGCTAAGGGGTATGGCTGGTACATGCTGGGGAATGCGGGGTTTGCCATGAAGGTATAGGCGGGTGCTGCTGGTGCTTGAGGGGCGGGCTGGGCAGGGGTGTCTGGCTGTGGTGCGGTCTGCTCTGGTGCAGTTTGAGTGCGGTCAGCTGTGCCTGGCGCCTCTCGAGCAGTGCGGTCAAGTGCGGGTCCTGGATCGGGCTGTTGCCCGGTTTGCTCTGGCTGTCCTTGACCTAAATGTGTGCTCTGAGGCTGTTCTCTCTGTGCGTTTCTCAGCTGGCCCCTATCGTCCCGGTGTTCCCTCTGTTGTGCCCGTCCCGGTGTCCTCTGTGGTGCACCCCTGCTCTCGTGCATCGCTGGTCTGTCGTGTTGTGAGGGGTGTTGGGGTGCCATGCGGATAGCATAGTGCTGCTGCCATGGTGCTTGGGGAGCTGTGCGGGCTGTGTCAGTGTGGCGTTGCCTAGGCCGGTTTACCTTCAACCCACGCATAGCTACCTTCACCGCCGCAGCAGTCGCAATGGCTGCCGCGGACGACTGCGAGGTCCTCACTGCCGTCTGCAAGCGTCCTCCCCGCTGTGTGCCCTCAGTGTACCCCGGACGTGTTGAAGGAGAGGTCGTCACCGGTATCGGCTGCGCTGCTACTCCGGCTGCTGTCGATGCTGGAGCTGTGCCTGCAGCCCCTGGTGTTGCTGCTGCTGGTGCTGGGGCTGGCTGCGCAGTGTCATTAGTTGAGGCTATTGCTGCTGCTGGTCCTGCTGCTCCCTGCACTTCTGTTGCAGTGGCTGCTGGTCCTGCTGCTGTAGCAGCCTCGCCTCCCCCCGGCCTCTCTGCTGATGTTGCTGCTGCTGGAAGAGCCGCTGTCCTCCCCGCGGTTCCCCCTGCCTCAGGGGCTGTCGCTGCTGCTGTGGGTTGCTGTGAGGTGGCTCCGTTTCGGGCCTTGTGTTTTTTCGCTTCTCTTCGGCGTTGTGCCCTGCTCTTTCCTGCTACCTTCCCGTGCTCTGTTGTAGGCCCACTCTTAGACTGGCGCTGCTCCAAGGCCTCTACCCGCTGCTGTAGGGGGCCAACCAGTGTTTTCATCAGCCCGAGCAGGTCGGTAGAAGGATCTGCTTGTATCTGCTCCACCTGCGCCTGTTCACCCCGTGCCTTCTCCCGTTTAGCTGCCCCCCTTGCCTTTGAGTTGCGGTTGCCCTTGATCCACACGGCATGATACATCAGCTCTCGTGCCATGCCACGTGCCATGTAGTCAGCGGCCAGCTCCTTGAGGTGAGCATCGGGTGCAGGGGTACCAGGTGCTGCATGGGTCTCGAAAAAGTGAAGGTCTTTCTCCAGGAAGCTCTCGAAGCGAGTGTGTGTCCGTGCCGCCCACACCTCTGCTGCCGCTTCCCAGTGAGCCTTCTCCTTCTCTTTGTACCCCATCAGAGTCAGCTGGGCCTTTGTTTTGAAGGTTTTCAGCTCATTGTCTAGGGCCTGGTTCAAACTCTCCTGTAGGGCAGGGTCGGTTAGCTGTAGCGTGGGGGTTGAAATCCGGAGAGCGTGGGAAACTTCCCCATCCCTGAACTGCTGCTGAAGCTCGCACAGGCCGTTCGATACTTTGCTGTAGGTGCGAAGGCAGCTCTTGAATGAAGCCAGCTCCTTCTCGATCGCCTTGCGCAGGGGCTTAGGCAAGCTCTTGAAGGGTGAGGAAGCAGGGGGCTCTGGTGGTGTCGTGTTGAGTAGCATGGACTGCATATCTTCGAAGAAACGATGCCAAACAGTGGGGAGGTCTTCTTCTTCCTTCAGCCCATATGCTGCCTCTAGGCCCTTCATGCCGAACTGCTCACCCCGCATGAGAGCTGCCGCTGCCTTGCCAATCTCTCTCTTTGTCAGCTTCAAACCCTCTGGGGTTGCATCCTCCTGGCTCGTTGGGCTCATGGGCTGCTCGGGTGGCTCCGCTTCGTCCTCTCCTCCGCATGGGTCAAACTCCACGGGGCAGTAGAGGATACGGGTCCCATCCCTATTAGGGCCTTCATCCCTGGTCCCCTTGCTGCTGCTGCTGCTGCTATCGCTCGGCTGCTGATGAGGCTGTTGTGCTTGTGGTGCGGCTGCTGCTGTGTCATCGTGTCCCGGCCAGGTCGGTGTGAGGCTGTCCGGGCGGCTCCGTCCCTGCTGCAGCGTGGTAGTGGGTGGCACGATAGGTGCTGTTCCGTTAGGGGGTAGCTCATCAGTGCCCTTGCAAGCTCGTGGGAGATCACTTATGCGGCTGCTTGTGACAACCAAAGGTTCTCCCAACCTCATTGTTGCTAGCACTGAA